ATCCCTGATATTTCCCAACATATTTGTTTAATTCGAGTTCAAACGGAACATAAGTTTGGGGGAGACTCTGATATTGCCAATTCATGGTGAGCCTCAAAAAAACCGGTCGTAGGCTGTCGAAATGGGGTGATCTGTTTACATATTTTCATTGCCAGCGTTTGATCAAGATAATGTAAACGTGGAAATATCAACAAAGAACCTTCTAAGGCATATCAACTGGGTTGTACACAAATTTTTCATGAACCATCGAAGGACTTTTGAATAGAAAGTCTTGTGTGGTGATCCCCAAAATATCAACAAAGGACCCTCTAAGGCACATCAACTGGGTTGTACACAAGTTTTTCATGAACCATCGAAGGACTGTTGAATAGAAAGTCTTGTGTGGTGATCCCCTGGGAATAAACACGTTGTTCTAAACTGCCGTTCAAAAGAGATCGAAGTGACAGATGATCGCCTTTGCACACGAGGCATGCGAAAGCACAATTTAGCAATTTGGAATAAACAAAAACGCCTAACACAAAGGAGAATTCGTTAAGTGTTCCTATGTATGTGCACTTTTTCTGCTTCAATTTCGTTAACAAGTTGGCTATGCACAGGTCGTTCTTAGTCTATCTCAAGAAATGTAGCAAGTGACAGCTCAAAATTCCATCTCGAGTGGTTACCTCCAACAGGTTACAACGGAAATATCTGGGGAATGATACCAGCAAGGATGACCAAAGAATTGGATAACTACTCTCAAAGCTCATTAGTTAGCCTTGCTCCTCCTCAGTCATTGTTTGAGCTTTACAAACGAGTATTTGTCTGAAAGCGCACCTTCGATTGAATATCCAGGTATAAAACGAAACTGATAGAAATTCGGGGACTAAGCCTACCTGATAATTGGACTGAACTGTTCAAGAATCATCAGTGATCTTAACAGCATTTTTCTGTCAAGAAAATATTCGCGTGTGTCGCCCATTTCGTGCAAACTTAAATAACAGACAATATTTATACAGCACATTCGGCCGATGAATGTTACATGCGATAGATTTAGATGAGATCCTGTAAGGTCGTTCCAGATGTGTCTGTCTGAAATTTAGTAAGTTTCGATAGGATTGAAAAAGCCATTGGGTGCGGTTTTTTAAGACAAGCCTAATTCCGTGCCACAAACTCGCATTGTGTGAACCACTAAAATTTGTCGACATTCTCACCGTATTGTGTTATGGCCCACAGCGGATCTTACAGTAACATACCTCTTCCAAACTCGTTCAGGCAACCTGCCTTCTGCCTGTAGACATAACTGATCGCCTGCCAGAACACTGGATGCTACCTGGCCTTCATCTTGATATCGAGTGCTTCAGTACAGCGGACTCATCTTCATACTCATCTAATTCTTGTCAACGTGCAATGTAGTCGATGAACTGTATGCATGAAGTTTGGTGTAGCGTGTCCGAAGACCAACTGCAAAGCCTATCAAGCAGGTTTATTTTTCGGATATTCTGAGCAGCATCTGCAGGCTCATCATTGACCCCTCCCTTTGCCTCAGCTTCGGATTGAGATATTTCAGTCGATGAGACTTCCGATGAGTATGTTAAGTATGACAATTCTGTCTACTCATACAACTCTTTTTTACACGAATTTTAGTTACAATAATAATAATTTCACGCACCGCTTCATAGGTATTCACTTTCGGCCGTGGACATCAACAATCGATTTGTACACCTGACCAACTATTCTGTCAACAAACATAACAAACACGGCACAACAGGTGTACAGAATAACAAATGGTGAGTTTCTGCATTTTATGGCCCACTCCCATCACATCTAGAACATCGGTGGTACTTACAAGTCTTTCCGGTTGCACCAACCTCACAGTCGCACATTTTTGAGGATGCTTTCTCACACTGGAACAAGTGCAGCTGAACTTTTGAGTGGCATTACCCTGTGGACTTATAAGAACTGTGTTAATCACTGTAATGATTTTCAGAAGAAAACTATGGTTAACACAGTCAGACATAAATGTACGCTTCCCCAATGGCTGAAAACTGCAGACCACCAAAGCTTTACCAGATGGTTTAGTCAAGTTTAAAGTCCTGTGATTCAAACCTGAGTACCATCGCTCCAAACAAGCTTTAATTCTGGTTTAGTTGTAAGACCTAGCAACTGGTTCGTAGGACATTCTTGCGAAAGTCGGACACCTATAACGAACTTGACAACCATAAAGTACCACTAGGAAAATCTATGAAAATCTTTTGACGGATAAGAGAACAATCATCACGATGACCAGACAGCAGAATAGATATCATGTTGGGTCCAGTCATCTTTGGGAAATCTTCCCTCGTAAGAACACATTGGGTACTCTCCAAAATCATAATTGCTCGCCGAAAACCGAGGGATCCTTCTTTTCCTCAGATCTTCCTTTCCGCTTTTAAAATCCCCGTACTTCATCACCAAGAACCAGTTGTTTATTTTCTCAGCTGCCATTTACCGCTTCAGTTAGTTTCGTTCGTTAATTAACACCAGTGGAGACCAGTGTAAACGTAGCAGAAGAGTATTTTGCCTGTCTCTGCTGTTGTTTTTCGGTTACTTAAGTCTGCTGGGAATTTTTGTGCTTTGGCAGAGTCGCTTTAACTTTTTCATCAGTCTTGGTGAGCTGCACTGGAATGAGTGGTTAAGTTTCTTATTGTCAGATCAATGAAATCACTGGCCACTCACAATTAGGCCTGGAAGGCTGAACGTCGCACCAATCAGGTGGCGCGTGTGCTCAAGGCCACGACGAGAAACTCAAACGAAATTGGCTAGTTTCATTGGTCTACCAAGCGATAGCCTCAGCAAAACATCAGCATTACGCGCAAGCCCAATTGCAATGTACATGCAGGCGGTTGCAAAGCTTCTTTCCTAGCACCTCGGCTACTTTAAAAAGCCGATCATTCCATGCTGGCAACCAAACTTCAGTACATTAAGGTAGCCAAATCATGTGATGGCCATGGCGGAGGCACATGTTTCAGGGAGTTTATATGAGCGGAGAACATGAAATCATATAGTGTGATTGAAACTGTTTCACTTTTTAACGACCGTTGTTTACATGCCAACCGTCACATTCAATTTTCTTTTCTACATTCCTCATCATCTTTAGATAGGGGCGTCTAATCCAAGCAGTATCGTGATAAGTCTTTTGTAGATAAACCCATCGTGGAGTCTCGTTATAACAAGAGAGAAGTCTCGGCTACCACAAACAACTCCGAAGCGTTCTATTGAGTGAAACCTGGGTTCCCCTGTAATTTTAGATCTGTGTGGCTGTCGCCTACTTACCTACGTGTCTGTTCACATGGCTGCTCACTCAATTGCCCACCTGCCTACTTTCTCGCCTAACAACTTACTTTAACTCTTACTCAATCAGTTGTTTTAAGACGCGTGATTCTTTTGACCGAATGAGTTGGCTTCACATATGACCCGTATTGCCATGACCTAAGAACATCTGGTCGGTGGTGCTCGTCTAATTGTAATAACAACAGTACCACACTTCCAGCGTACCACAACTTCCCTGACGTCTCTCCCGTTGCTCGCAGGAAGTTGGAAACACTCTGGCGCTACCTACTGGATCGTGGAGTCAATGTGGATGGACTTTGGATGCAACTGAAAGATATAGTATTCAAAACTCTAGCGTCAGTCATCAACCCCATCTCCATTTTAGTAGACCAGAATTGTCGCCGAAGAGCGTGTGCACATGAACTTTTCGGGTTTGACATCTTGCTGGACGAAAATTTGAAACCTTGGCTGCTTGAGGTGAACGTTTCACCAAGGTATGCAAATATGTGTCATACTGTAATTGTTATGCTGGCGGAAATCGGTTAAAATCGACTACTTTTTGCTCTAAGGTTTGCCGTTTAATACCTTGGGTTTCATCGGATAGCAAAAGCTGTTTGGGTACTTCTTTGGATGCGCGTATATGTCCGTTTGTAACTTATCCACCATCTGATTGGCTGGGCGGCACTTGGGGTCGGTAGATTTCGTTTGCAATATTGCTTAAAATGGAGCCTCGATAATTGGAGAATCGAAACTCAATCTCACCTTAATTAGAAAACTCAGCTGACCGATACTATTGTCAACTTGTGTATCGCTGGTCTCGCCTCAAATTCCGTGTGGCCTAGTAACTTTTCTGTGTGACAAACCCAAATACTTGGTTTGGAACGGTGGAAAATATGCAGCCACGAACCTTCTTCGTAACAATGGTCTACTGAATTCGTGACAGTAGTCTTAACACGAAAGACGCCATCGTCAACAATTAAAACGAAAGATGTTCATTACTGACTTAGAATCACTGGTCCGAATGCATTAACTTGATGGGAAAACCTAATAAGTGCGCAGTTGTTACGGGATCTTGTATGAGAGGGTTGAAAGTTGTTAGCTCCATCGTGACACCTCCAACTATCTTATGTTAACCTGAGTAAAACACAGAACGGGCCAGCCACCAACCGACAAAGGTTTGGATGAAACACACGACCAATCATAGCTCCGTCTCATAAGTGAGCTTTGATCAGATAAGAGCGGGTTCAAGTTTTATCGATGGTCAATGACCGAATGGGGCGAGTCGCTTTCTACTCGCCCACTTCATCCTTCTGGCCAGTTCGGTCGCATAAACTGTGTTGAATGACGAAGCCCTATAATTTTGATGCGATCTGTACGATTGAGTAAATGTAATTCCCTCGATCAGAAGTTGGTAACTTACTATAAAATTCATTTGAGGATTCTTAAACTTTGATTACCTATCAGTGTTCACTTCTTATTGGTCTGGTAATTGACAGTTCAAACAATTTTCCTGACCTGGAGTTTTTTGCCACCACACTTAAAGACATTCTAATCAATGCCACACTAATGCTCTCCACAAACTAAGCACGGCAGTATATCATGTCAATAAAAACGGTATTCACAGAACCAAAGCAGAAAAGGACGGAGTTGTTTCTTACAGGGTTATACTTTGCTGTTGTCCAATTACTGATGTACCGGCCTGGTGCTGCAGAGTGAAAAACTTACCATTACTATCTCAATTGTTTGGACCATACTTGAAATGGACGCAGTCACATTTACTCTTTCTTTGATCAGCTTACATACAAATACAAAACTTGACAATGAAGTCAAGGCAGAAGTGGTCACCGATATGCTTAACATAGCCGGATTTCGTCTCCCACCGGAACTCCGAACACGGCCAACTGTGATCTCAGATGAAACAGGACTGATCAGGGAGCCAATCTTAGATGTCAGGGCAAGTAGCAAAGCAAATGGCGATAGTCAAAACGTGGCCCGAAAGTACACTAGGAATGTACGAATGGCAAAGGAATTTAAGCGAATCCCGATTTCGGCGCAGTCATACCAAGAAGAACAGAGCGGGAAAGCGCAAACGGAGCAGGAGAAGGGTTTGAATCTCAGGGCATTCTTACCTATATCTGACCCTCGATTATGGGACGTATCTCTATCGTGGGACGAAAGACAGAAGCACTTGTTCCACTCACGATTAGCCTGCGCAGAACATGCGGTGAGTTTGTTTGTAGCCAAAAATGCAAACTGTTTTAACTACTTTTGTATGTGTAAGTAGTGTGCACTGTTGGTTCCTGTTCCTCGGGCGGATCACGACCAATCGCCTTCGTGCAGCAGCATTATTTTAAATTACAGCTTATTTAGTCGTACAATAGTGTTTTTGTTTGCAGTCACCATACAGTTGTTTGGCATAACTCAGAAAGTCCATGTTGTAAGAGTTCCAGCTAATCGGTGTAGAATAGCGAATTGATCAATAACAGCTGCTTCGGGCATGTGCGTGCTGTTTAACTTCCCCTCTTCTGAACCTGTTCCAGAAGCAACGAATAGCTAATCCTTCGATCAAACTGAGTGGAGCCCAAACAAATAAAACCACCCGAGTTGTGGAAAACAGTCAAAAACAACGTCGGAACACACTTGCGAAGATTTGCAAACCAGTAGAAACGGTAAGCTGGGAAAAAATTTCGACACTAGGCTGGTACTCTTTCACTTGTTGTAAACAAGAGGCACAGAAAGGGCACTGCGGTGCCCTTTCAGTGCCCAGCTGCCTTGCCGTCCGAAAGAAGCAGGTTGATCAAGCCTGGGAAGCTGCACTTTAGGTGCTGAGGTTGGACTCGAACTACAGGCAATCTCGAACCCCCAGGTTGATGTATGTTTTAGTATTACTGAGTGGCTTCGTACAACAAAATGCTTGTACATCTGTCTATCAGTTGAGAGTCCAATGTGTAGGATGAAAATGTCGGTAAATTATCGCGACACGAAGGAAACAGTTACTTACTTTCGAAGTGTATCAGTCTGTTTTAGGTGATCAACCCCAAGGTATGAGGCTTTTGATCCATTCCATTTGTCAGTTGCGAGTCCAATGTGTAGGACGAAAATGCCAGTAAATTATTGTGACACGAAGGAAACAGTTACTTACATTCGAAGTGTATCAGTCTGTTTTAGGTGGTCAACCCCAAGGTATGAGGCTTTTGATCCATTTATTTCGGCCGTTTTGAAAAAGCAGTCGAATATCCTATCAATGAGGTTTATCTTATTAGCCTGGTTGGTAATCCACGGGAGGTGCATCTACATTTACGCGCATTTCTCTGAGACGCCATAACAACTGGAAACATGGTTTTCCATCTTTCAGTTTTCTAACAAAATGTTTTCAAACTTTATCATTGGGGCCTTCAGATCCCTCTAACATATTACATCAAAATCTCAGTTAGTATGAGCTTCCTGGAAAAGGCTGACCTAAGATTGTCCAGAATATCCAGATTGGTTCACTGCTGAGGCATTGAAAATCAAACTGAAGACCGACCTTTTTGATCTACCAAAGTTCCAACACCCAAATAGTTTGCCGATCCGTTCGAAAGAGTATACGCCCTAACCAAAATGCAGCTCATATTCCTCCCATGTTGGCAAAACGAAACAAGAGGGAGCGTGAATATGCAGCCGGGTCAGGTAGACTGTCACGGAAAAGTATACTAAGAAGGCCGAGAGATTTTTACAAGTTAATGCCATGAAATTAAGCAGTGATCCGTAAGAACCAGTGGCCAAGCACTGAAACAGGGCAAAAGCCGGCCTGTTCTTTGGGACAATCACCAGGTAAAGCTTCATTAAAAATTACCGATATTTTAAGAAAAGCCCACCTGCCGTCATCGTCTAGGCAGAACATGATGAAGTGCGCTTGGCTGACCAAATTCGTGATGCATAAATCCTGATATAATGGCGCCCTCCACCATTTCCTGATGTGTACGAGGTTTTGTGTGTGTGTGTGTAGCTCAGGCCCGTTTAATCAGGTGGCTAAGTTGACAGAATTAAATGCGGCTTTGATGTCTAGAGATGCCAGGGCCTGTGATTATCGAAAAGTTCAGACATTGGGTCAGCACGAAAGGCTGAGGAAGGACAAACGTGTAAACGTCACCGAAAACCCTCTTCCACAGAACTACACTCCACGTTTTCAAGCAACCACTTTCGAACACTTTGGAGCTAGGTGTTTGTAGATTGGATGTCAAACGTTCGCCTTGGGGGCATATTAGTGTAACCTATAAGGCAGTCGCCAGTCCGTAAAGGTCTTGTGCCGCCCAGCTGGGCTGAAATGAGTATCACAAAACCATGGTGGGAAGCCAGGAAAATGCATCAAAAAATGCAACAAAAAAGATTGAAAATATTCAGGGTCCAAGCTGATGCCGAGCAAGCGTGCGCTGCACCATCAAAAGTTAAATTTCCATACCCATAGTCCGTGTTGAACCCCTGAGAATAAGTCGCGTACCCATCTCCGAGACTGATCTGGGTGCCAGGTCAGGTCTATTCAAGTGAAGAACAGCTTACTGAAAATGGTAGCCGGTGCGCCATAACTGATTATGAAAGTAACAGTGTATTTGAACGATCTATGATCGATGTTATAAAATATCTCCATTGAGCTGAAGCCGGTTTGAAACGAAGTCATCCATCCAATATTCCCCTGTGTTTTCTTAATGTGGAATCGCAGTAAGGAAATCCTGCGCTCCGCAGTAGAATGTTTCACAATGGAGAGTGGAGTAACCTACTTTCTGACGTAATGTTTCAGATGAAATGCACGTGTTATATTTGATCGGTAAAAAACAGAAGTTCATTATAGTTTCCACACAAACGCTCTGCGTGTATGGTAGTAATGTAGGATGATTTTGTGATACAACGAACACGTCCAATTTTCCATTGACATCTTGCGGGCATTTTCACATTCTAGATGAAGACATATCAGACAGGTTTTCTAGACTCGCATGGCACGTAACAGTTGTCCGGAGAGGAACCTCGCAGCTGAAAAATTTCACTATTTGAACACTTGAATTTTAACCGACATGAGCTTGATGTGCATGGCATGACTCAGTAAAAGTTTTTAGTCCAGCAGTGCACAGCAGAATCCTGAATATTGTTTTGGGTGCGATCGTTTTGCAACAAGTCATTCGAGTCAGACGTCTAATAGACAGCCAATCATATTGCAGCTTAATTATGTTTTTTCGGAAACTATATAAGCGCAATTACGAAGAGGAGTACTGCCCAACCAACCGCCAATCGATGATGTCCACTCGGTTGGCAACGAAATGTTCACAAGCCGATTGCCAAGCTCGGCGAATAAATCAACATCCATCCGATTAAATACTAATGAATACACCCGAGCAACAAATATTCCAACACCTAGCCAGCTTCATATATATGGAATACCCAGAGATGGCACTTAGTGGGATAAAGTGCTCAGAAAGATAGTGGCATATTCATTCAGTAGTGTGAATTTCATGGGTTATTTCATTTTGATGTACCAAGACTACTCTGGTCAGCAAACTATCCATTTCAAGAGCAATATCCCCACCGAGAAGGCCCCCGATAAGATGTCTGCGGTGTTTGATCTTTCCTGCATGTGTTGTCCTAAACATGATTTCCTACATGGGATTATCACAAGCCAGAAGCATACCTTCAAAATATCTCCAACAATGCCTCTTTTGTTGGACTGATGTATAGCGCATTTCTCGGTATTCACTGCCCGTTGAGTTACAGACCTTCAAGCAAGAACTAGACGGCCTCCTATCATACCTAACACCGGACGATGTGCGCACACTGGTTGATTTTATAGACGAACGTTACCGTGTTGGAATGGGAAATTTCGAGCCAATTTTTCCCGTAGCTGGCAATCGAGGTTTGAAGTTGTTGCTATTCTTGCAAGGTTGCAGTGGTGACGCATATGTGGGCCAACTTGGTATGAGGACGCCGACTTTCCGATACTACGACTTGCTTCAGTACGCATTCCTCACATGTTACCGTCGTCCGGATGCCGAAGAACCCAACTTCATCAAAACCATTCCGCTTGATGTTGCAACCACTGTGCGACTCCCTGATTACCACATACTAACCAACGGGGGTGAAATGTCTGCTGATGCTCTCGAAGTCGCCTCGCAGATCACCGAAATCAACACCAATGGCTTGGAGTGGATAAGGAATTTGTGCAAGAGGTAAGTGACCACAGTTTGCTGGCTACCCTGTATTCTCTGGCCTCGACCTGGGATTACCTATTTGAGATAGCACGTGGTAATTTACCACACCTAAAATAATTGTTTCCCATCTTATTGTTCAAGCATAGTTTTTTGATCGCTCCCATAGCATCATGACGAAGCCATTATCTCACTTTCATTCTCGTAGTCTGCATCACCTGGTTGATGAAGCTATTCACATAGAACTGTTCAATCTACCCTTGATGTTCATGCGTACGAAAAACTTTCAGAGCAATCGACCTTGTGTTAAGTGCTTTAGTCCCCACTCCTTTGAAATGAAAACCAAACGATGAGCGACATCAGGCCCTCTCACAATTGATGTGTGATTTATAAGACCGATACTCACACCTGTCCTTCCAGCTACTCAGCGTTTAATCCGACTATCCCAAATCGGATACAGTAGCGCTTGAAAAGAGTTTCACCCCAACTAGACATTATCAATGGTACTTACCTCTGATGCGACCGGAATGCTAAATATAAAATATCCCGTAAGCGCATACTTGTCACTGCTTAATTAACGCACACTTATAGTTACGAACTCTCTTTATTCAAGAAGCCTACGTTTTTACGCTGGAGCTATTTCTTCGGTTGCTTTTGACGTGGATTCCTTAGACCTCCGTAACCGGCGTGTTACTGAAGCGTTGTTCCATAAGGGGTGACGGGGAATAAGAGTCCTTGATAGCTCGTTCGGTCAGACACTTTTTGATAAACCGAAGGTCGGTATCTTTTGTCCGTTTGGCACGCTTTTTCCATCCACACGACGAATAATTCTAGTTTTCGTTTCAAAATCAGTCATGCCGTTCATACTTCTCGAAAATTAACGCCGGTGTCCTCTGGCTATCTGGACGATACCAGTGTCTGGATCACAATGGAAGTCATACAGTGGACACTGATAAATCTCCTGTTATTTCAGTGGTCAGAGGTGCTGCGAATCATTTGCGGATTTTGGCTGCGCACATGTTGCTGCACATGAAACGGGAGCCCTCGGTAGCTTAGTGGGTAGACCACCCACTACAAACCAAAAGTTCTCGTTCGTTTCATTCTTGTCATGTTTACTGGAACTTGTCAATCCAATAACTATCAAATATCACTCTACTTTATAAAATCATTTGATGCAACTTCATCTTATTTCGAAACTCAACAAAGCAGTATAAAGCTGCCTTACTCTTTAGGCGTACAACACATAAGGTGGTTGAAAACTCTTCAAAAGCCAACAGCTGGTTTGGCTCATTTTGGGTATATCAGGTAGGCACAGCGTTTCCTGTAGCCTTTCACTCATTCTGGAATTTGTAGCATGCCTAATTCACGAACCAATAGGTTTACCCATAACCGTGAGTTTTGGAGTAGACGTTCTGAAGCTCAACATTTCAAATGAACATCACTGTGCACGGCTTGCACCTATATAAGTCTACTTTGCGTGTCCTAGCATTCGGCTTACCGCTGACTATTCCTCTGGGACGATAAAGACTTCTACACAAATCTACATCCTCTCTTATTAAAACTGGAATCCTCCAATTTTTCTCACGGTTTTGCCGGTTTTATCCCTTTTGCCACGCTCCCCCACCACTTGCGGAGCAAAATCAACATCCACGTCAGTAACTATCCTGGTTGATTGTGGCAAAAAGAACAAAGATGGGTTGACGAACATGCTCTCGGCAAGGTCATTTCAAGGCTAAGAGAGCAGTATTTAACATATTTGAATGATTATGGTGTACGCGAATATGAACTCGAATGAGAGACGTCATTGGTTAACTATCAAAGTCAATTAGTCCAAGTCACCAGTAGGATGAACTCGTCAGTAGGGACAGTGCTGTGGTTGTGTTTAGCACAGGGCGCATGTATGGGGTTAGTTGGACCATGGCGCCTTGTAAACAATGCGGAGGCGTAGGGTGGATATCACGTTGTGCTAGATGTTGTACTACAGACCTAGTTTTCGTTCTCTTGGGTCAAAAAATAGCCAGTGTAATGTGCTCCTTCATTCTTTGGATGGGTTGGCTAGGAGTGCGTCCGGTGTGTTCCGCTGCATAGCAGCAAGAGAATGAGTGCAATATGTTTTAGGTGTGGATAGGCCCTCTATCTTTGAGATTAAAGAAACGCAGACGATTTCTTGTGAACCAGGTTCGGAGTGTAGTGACCGGGAAAGCTTCGTTGCGACTGGTAAACAGTCTTTCACTGAGTACGTCGGCTGGTATATTTCTCCTGTTCAAATGCTTTACAACAAAATTGTTGGGAAACCCAGTGACTCTCAGACCGTTGTTGAAAGTTGGTTTTTCTTGTTCCAGCACGCCATCAGAGCATACTTTCTTTGCTCTTTTAGTTAGGCTATGAATCAGATTCGATTTCTGCTTTAGTGGAACAAAGCTGTCGAACTTAGTATACTCCCAAGACCAAACAGGTTTTCGGTACACCATCGTGATGTCGTTCAAGGTCGACATCTGTGAATTGGAAGAAACTATCGGTTTCTCCTTCCGAGATGAACTGGATGGCGGTGTGATCTCTAATGAAGTGTTGTTGGAGCGATTCCGTTGCTGGTTTAAAATTCAGAGTCGCGAAGACGTTCGCATATAGGCAGTAGTATCAAATCAGCTATCTGTAAGATTTAAGAGACGATTATCAAATTTGGCAATTGATCAGGTGGCTGTTGATCTGTTCGCCGAGCTTGGCAATTGATTTGCAAACGTTTCGTCACCATTCGAGGAGACATCTTCAGTGCGCTGTTGGTTGGGTAGTTCCTCTC